ATCGCAACAGTGCAACAGAGGGGGCCCTGGGTCGGATTGTCAGCATCGTGGATCAGCCCCGGTTTTCCCCACCTACTGAAGATATTGAATTGGCAACTCGCAACACTGGCACATTCCAGATTCCTCCGTGCATTGCGTGCCCGGGATTCATTGCCCCCTATATACAACCCTTAGACATTTGCACAGACAAACCCACACGCACAGAGCACACACGTGCACGTTTGGTCACATGTACGCCGTGCACGCATGGTGAGGCTGTACAAGCCACGGTACTCCCCACACACGTGGATTTGGGCCGTGGCATGTGACCGTGCGCTTGGGAGTATTTGGCACCAATGAATTTCCCACCTGATGAGCCGCTTCTGGAAAAAAGAGCTATCTATGGCAGCTCAAGTGGGCCTTACCTGGGAAAATAAAAATTTATGGGACAAATACGATTCCGCGTATAGCCTTCAACGGTGACACAAGCAGCGAGTAGCCTTCACGCCGGCACGGGTTGCTGCTGCCAACACCGTTCCCGGCCGCCTTTGTCTTCCCAGGGCTGGTAGTGTATACGCCGCGTGCCACGTACTCATTTGAGGCCGAGTCGGCATAGGGGATGCCCGGCAAAAGGGTCGGATACTGCTCGCCACTGGTGTAGGCCGGGAGTTCCATCGTGAAGTGCGCTAACCACTGCGCCACCGCTCCACGCCAGACCGTAGACGCACAGAGAACCTTTGTTGGAGACGCTCTGCGTCCATGCCGAATACCAAACCTTTACACCCGTTTCACAAAGCCGCACTGCGACCGGCGTGGTGAAGTATGGTCAAATAATGATGCCGATAACCCAACAACAGTGTGTGGGGGGAGGGGGGGGAGCCATCGTCCAGCAGTGGATTGAGAAAGGGCTGGGAACTGTTAATTTTATCACGACAGCAGAGGACGTATTACAATCACTCAGCTACTGGACGAGTGTTTACAGTATGTGTGTGTGCAAGTTGGTGCGTGTGTGGCATGTGTATGGGTTTATATACTGTGTGTGGCATGTGTATGAGTATATATACTGTGTGTGTGGCATGTGTATGGGTATATATACTGTGTGTGTGGCACGTGTATGGGTATATATACTGTGTGTGGAATGTGTATGTGTATATATACTGTGTGTGGCATGTGTATATATACCGTGTGTGTGGCATGTGCATATATACTGTGTGTGTGTGGCATGTGTATATATATACTGTGTGTGGCATGTGTATATATACTGTGTGTGTGGCATGTGTATATATACTGTGTGTGTGGCATGTGTATACACTGTGTGTGTGGCATGTGTATATATACTGTGTGTGGCATGTATATACTGTGTGTGTGGCATGTATATATACTGTGTGTGGCATGTGTATGTGTATATATACTGTATGTGTGTGGCATGTGTATGTGTATATATACTGTATGTGTGTGGCATGTGTATGTGTATATACTGTACGTGTGTGGCATGTGTATGTGTATATATACTGTGTGTGTGTGGCATGTGTATGTGTATATATACTGTGTGTGTGGCATGTGTATGTGTATATATACTGTGTGTGTGGCATGTATATATACTGTGTGTGGCATGTATATATATACTGTGTGTGTGTGGCATGTGTATGTGTATATATACTGTGTGTGTGGCATGTGTATGTGTGTATATACTGTGTGTGTGGCATGTATATATACTGTGTGTGGCATGTATATATACTGTGCGTGTGGCATGTGTATGTGTATATATACTGTGTGTGGCATGTATATATACTGTGTGTGGCATGTGTATGGGTATATATACTGTGTGTGTGGCATGTGTATGAGTATATATACTGTGTGTGTGGCATGTGTATGGGTATATATACTGTGTGTGTGGCATGTGTATAGGTATATATATATATACTGTGTGTGTGGCATGTGTATGTATATATACTGTGTGTGGCATGTATATATACTGTGTGTGGCATGTGTATATATACTGTGTGTGGCATGTGTATATATACTGTGTGTAGCATGTGTATATATACTGTGTGTGTGGCATGTGTATATACTGTGTGTGTGGCATGTGTATATATACTGTGTGTGTGGCATGTGTATGTGTATATATACTGTGTGTGGCATGTGTATGTGTATATATATACTGTGTGTGTGTGGCATGTGTATGTATATATACTGTGTGTGTGCAAGTTGGTACGTATGTGGCACATGTGTGTATATATAATGCGTGTGGCACGTGTATGTATATATACTGTTTGTGTGGCATGCGTATGTGTATATACTGTGTGTGTGGCATGTGTATGTGTATATACTGTGTGTGGCATGTGTATGTGTATATATACTGTGTGTGGCATGTGTATATACTGTGTGTGTGGCACGTGTATGGGTATATATACTGTGTGTGTGGCATGTGTATGGGTATATACTGTGTGTGTGGCATGTGTATGTATATATACTGTATGTGTGTGCAAGTTGGAATGTGTATGGGGGTGTATATATACTGTGTGTGTGCAAGTTGATACGTGTGTGGCACGTGTATGGGTTTATATACTGTGTGTGTGTGGCGTGTGTGTGTGGCATGTGTATGGGGGTGTATATATACGGTGTGTGTGTGCAAGTTGGCATGTGTGTGGCATGTGTATGTGTATATACTGTGTGTGGCATGTGTATGGGTATACATACTGTGTGTGTGGCATGTGTATGTGTATATACTGTGTGTGGCATGTGTATGGGTATACATACTGTGTGTGTGTGGCATGTGTATGTGTATATACTGTGTGTGGCATGTGTATGGGTATACATACTGTGTGTGTGTGACACGTGTATGGGTATATATACTGTGTGTGGCATGTGTATGTGTATGTATATATATACTGTGTGTGTGTGGCATGTGTATGTATATATATACTGTGTGTGTGCAAGTTGGTACGTATGTGGCACGTGTGTGTATATATAATGCGTGTGGCACGTGTATGTATATATATACTGTTTGTGTGACATGCGTATGTGTATATACTGTGTGTGTGGCATGTGTATGTGTATATATACTGTGTGTGGCATGTGTATGTGTATATATACTGTGTGTGGCATGTGTATATACTGTGTGTGTGGCACGTGTATGGGTATATATACTGTGTGTGTGGCATGTGTATGGGTATATACTGTGTGTGTGGCATGTGTATGTATATATACTGTATGTGTGTGCAAGTTGGAATGTGTATGGGGGTGTATATATACTGTGTGTGTGCAAGTTGATACGTGTGTGGCACGTGTATGGGTTTATATACTGTGTGTGTGTGGCGTGTGTGTGTGGCATGTGTATGGGGGTGTATATATACGGTGTGTGTGTGTGCAAGTTGGCATGTGTGTGGCATGTGTATGTGTATATACTGTGTGTGGCATGTGTATGGGTATACATACTGTGTGTGTGGCATGTGTATGTGTATATACTGTGTGTGGCATGTGTATGGGTATACATACTGTGTGTGTGTGGCATGTGTATGTGTATATACTGTGTGTGGCATGTGTATGGGTATACATACTGTGTGTGTGTGACACGTGTATGGGTATATATACTGTGTGTGGCATGTGTATGTATATATACTGTGTGTGTGGCATGTGTATGTGTATATATACTGTGTGTGGCATGTGTATGTGTGTATATATACTGTGTGTGTGGTATGTGTATGTATATACTGTGTGTGGCATGTGTATGTGTATATATACTGTGTGTGTGACACGTGTATGGGTATATATACTGTGTGTGGCATGTGTATGGGTATATATACTGCGTGTGGCATGTGTATGTATATACTGTGTGTGGCATGTGTATGTATATATACTGTATGTGTGTGCAAGTTGGCATGTGTATGGGGGTGTATATATACTGTGTGTGTGTGGCATGTGTATGGGGGTGTATATATACTGTATGTGGCATGTGTATGGGGGTATATATACTGTGTGTGTGGCATGTGTATGTGTATATATACTGTGTGTGTGGCATGTGTATGTGTATATATACTGTGTGTGTGGCACGTGTATGGGTATATATACTGTGTGTGTGGCATGTGTATGTGTATATATACTGTGTGTGGCATGTGTATGTGTATATACTGTATGTGTGTGCAAGTTGGCATGTGTATGGGGGTGTATATTTAATGTGTGTGTGGCATGTGTATGGGTATATATACTGTGTGTGGCATGTGTATGTGTATATATACTGTGTGTGTGGCATGTGTATGTATATATACTGTGTGTGTGGCACGTGTGTGGGTATATATACTGTGTGTGTGGCATGTGTATGTGTATATATACTGTGTGTGTGGCATGTGTATGTATATACTGTGTGCAAGTTGGTACATGTGTGGCACGTGTATGTATATACACCGTGTGTGTGGCATGTGTATGGGTATATATACTGTGTGTGTGGCATGTGTATGTATAAATACTGTATGTGTGTGCAAGTTGGCATGTGTATGGGGGTGTATATATACTGTGTGTGTGCAAGTTGATACGTGTGTGGCACGTGTATGTGTATATATACTGTGTGTGGCATGTGTGTGGCATGTGTATGTTTGTATATATACTGTGTGTGTGTCATGTGTGTGGCATGTGTATGTGTGTATATATACTGTGCGTGTGTTAAAGGCCCCATCATCTCTGTCTGGACATGTCACACGTGTGTGACACACATGGCATGCAGCAGTCCCGTCGCTATGGACTGAGTGAGTGTGTGTGGGTTATCAAAGGGTACAAACACAGCAGTGCCTAAACTGACGTGACACATTGACCAGCGTGGTGAAGTATGGTCAAACAACTGCCCCCCCCCCCCACACCACCTGCCCCATCGCATACGGGTAGAGTCACTGTGAATGATGAACCCAGCACCACCACCACCACCACACGATCAGGGTCCGAGTGTAGTAGGAGGATGAATGTCGTCTCGACACACACGGCGATGGCCTTGTTTGGCAGCAGCAACAACCACCACCACCACCACTAACCTGCGGTGTCGAGCCGGCGATCCGTCTCCTGCTGCTGTTGTTGATGTCTTTGTTGTTGTTGTTGTGTATCCGCAACACCCACGACGGGAGAGAGAGAGACACGCAGAAGATCGGGCTCCCCGTCACGGCAAAGCCGGGCTCCGTGCGTCTCGCTTAGTGGGATTGTGAATGTGGTGGTGGTGGTTGTTGTCTTCAAGTCTTCTCTTGTCGATCAGTCAGACCTCCCCCCTCCTCCCCCTGCCCTTCTTCACACGCGAGGAGGTGGCATCGTGTGTGAGACACTCTGCACGGAACGCTCCCCACGTCTCTGCTCGGAGCGAGAGCCGACCACTCTATACGACACGGTATAGCAACATGTCTCTGTGTGTCTCTGTGTCTGTGTCTCTCTGTCTGTGTGTCTGTGTCTCTCTCTGTGTCTCTCTCTGTGTGTCTCTGTGTCTGTGTGTCTCTCTGTGTCTCTCTGTGTCTGTGTCTCTCTGTCTCTCTCTGTGTCTATGTCTCTCTCTGTGTCTGCGTCTCTCTGTCTCTGTGTCTCTCTCTGTCTGTGTCTCTCTCTGTCTCTGTGTCTCTCTGTGTCTCTCTGTGTCTGTGTCTCTCTGTGTCTCTCTGTCTCTCTCTGTGTCTATGTCTCTCTCTGTGTCTCTCTGTCTCTGTGTGTCTCTCTCTCTCTGTGTCTCTCTGTCTCTGTGTGTCTCTCTGTCTCTGTGTCTCTCTGTGTGTCTGTCTCTGTCTCTCTCTGTGTCTATGTCTCTCTCTCTGTGTCTCTGTCTCTCTCTGTCTCTGTGTCTGTGTCTCTCTGTGTCTGTGTGCGCGTCGGTGTGATTCTTACTAAGACTGGTGATGATAACAATGGGGGTGTGCACACACAACACGTGTGTGTGTGTAAGGTGGCACCTTAATCACGGTCACGAGCTCGGCATTGTGTTCGCTGGAGGGTTGGCGCGGGGTAAACAAAGGAGCGAGAGAAGCTGCTGCTGATGATGATGGTGGTGATGATGATGGTGGTGATGGTGATGATGATGAAGGTGGTGATGATGCTCGCCGCTGCTACTGCTGCTAATGGTTGATGATGGTGATGATGAAGGTGGTGGTGGTGATGCGGCGCTGCTGATGCTGCTAATGGTTGATGATGGTGGTGATGAACGTGGCGATGATGAAGGTGGTGATGATGATGAAGGTGGTGGTGCTCGCCGCTGCTGCTACTGGTTGATGATGGTGATGATGAAGGTGGTGATGGTGATGATGAAGGTGGTGGTGATGCTCGCCGCTGCTGATGCTGCTGCTAATGGTTGATGATGGTGATGATGATGGTGGTGATGAAGGTGGCGATGATGAAGGTGGTGATGATGATGAAGGTGGTGGTGGTGCTCGCCGCTGCTGCTACTGCTACTAATGGTTGATGATGATGGTGATGATGATGAAGGTGGTGATGATGGTGGTGGTGTTGCTCGCCGCTGCTGCTACTAATGGTTGATGATGGTGATGAAGGTGGTGGTGATGAAGGTGGTGATGATGGTGGTGGTGTTGCTCGCCGCTGCTGCTACTGTAGCCACGGCCCAGGCACGACTCGCCAGATGTAAACACAGCAGCAAACCAACAACACGCTTCGCTCCACCTCCTTAGCCGATGCTCGGCTCCTCCTTAATCACATGTCCGAACAAACGCGAATTCATTAATATTATTCATAGTGTAACACTGTATTGTGTTAGTTTCTCTCTCTCTCTCTGCTCTCTGCCGTTGTGGTTGTAATGGTTAACGGGAGGATGATCACTGTTCGATCTCTGGGACGTGTCACTTGATGAAATTCTCGCTCGTCTCTCGCAAGTTGCGACAGGTGGCGTGTGATGGGGGGGGGGGTAACTCTCGCCGCTTCCAAGAGTGGAAGAGTAGGCCAAGTGCCGTGTGCTCTCTCTCTGTCTCTAGAGCTCCCTCTCGTGACACCACCACCACCCACCACCACCCCCTCTAGAACTCCAGCAGCGGCGTAAACAAGCGATTTAACTTTTTGTTATTTAAAAAAAAACTAAGTATAGTTTTGTACTTAACTTGAAGCCACGTGTGGTATGATGATCACTAAACTGAGAGACGAGCTAAAGGGGGCAGTGCCCGATTATCCTCGTAACAAAAGTAGCTGCTACTATATATGATGTAGTAGTAGTCGTTTTTTATGTGTTATAAATTTATAGTATATTATATATTATACTTCATGTAATGTTCTTAGATTAGTCTTTTTTTAAGTATCAAAATTTATGTTTTATGAATTGACTATAAAATAAAATATGATCAAATATTGAGTTAATTATTAGTTTATACTTGTAATAAATACATTAATGCTGATTGTATACAAAAAAAATAATGAATATGGATGATGGTCAATATTAAAGTTTGTAATTTAATAAATCGTACTATGACTACACGCGTAGTAGTAGTAGTAGCTACACGTAGCTACTACTACTACACGTGTAGTAGTAGTAGTGTAGTAGTAGCTACTACTACACGTGTAGCAGCTACAACACGTGTAGTAGTAGTACTAGTAGTAGTAGCTACACGTGTAGTAGTAGTAGCTACACGTGTAGTAGTAGTAGCTACTACTAGTAGCTACTACTACTACACGTGTAGTGCTACTGCTACTACTGCAGTAGCTACGGGCCCGGCACTTTCAAGGGCGCTAAACGCCCTACTACACGTGTAGTAGTAGTACTAGTAGTAGTAGCTACACGTGTAGTAGTAGTAGCTACACGTGTAGTAGTAGTAGCTACACGTGTAGTAGTAGTAGCTACTAATAGTAGCTACTACTACTACACGTGTAGTAGCAGCTACTAGCTACTAGTAGCTAGTAGCTGCTACTAGCTACTAGTAGCTGCTACTGCTACTACTGCAGTAGCTACGGGCCCGGCACTTTCAAGGGCGCTAAACGCTTTCAAGCCATCAATTCCGGCTCAGTGATTCTGCACTTGCTCTATTACTATAGTACTATACCGCCTTCAACTTTTACGAACGACCGGGTGTTTAAGCGTAACGATTTGTCCGTATTATCTGGCCGTATAGCAAATGAAAAAGTACAATGACTTTACCGTGCAAGTTAAAAAATGTATGTGTTTTAATATGTATGTGTTTTTTTTAAATATAGGGCCCCGCACCAGCTAAATCCGCCACTGATTGGTGGTGGAGGCACCAGTCCAGCAGGGGAGAGAGCATCTCTCACGAATCAAGAGCCGAATGGCTCACAGGGTTATTCCAAATAAATGAAACTGAAATGAAATGAAAACTGTGTACGCGTTCCGTTTATTGCTCGCTATCATCATCATCAAGGTGAAAACAACTTTTGGTTGTCGAGTTTTATTTACAATAGGCGATTGAGAGGAAGGGACCCTTTTGAAAGGCTGCCTTTAATAAATTACCGTGACCAATACAAACTCATGATATACTGTACATTCTTCCCCCGGGGTTACATACTACTGCAGTCACAGCAGAGTTAGACTTTCATAGTTGTCAACCCACACAGTTTAGGGGCCGTCCATAAATGACGTCACGCGATTTTTGACCCACTCGTCACACGACGTCACAAAAAGTCTGACCCCCCCCTCAAATGTGATGTCACAAAGCTCTGCCCCATCCAAAAAAATAAATAAAACATGCTTCAAATCGCTTTAAACTATTGTCATTGTAGTGCGTATTTAATGTGGCGCTGCACTCTGATGTTGTAGGAGAAAACATTTATTAAAAAGTCTATTTAAATAAGTAGAACGTGTTGTCTATATTTATTAAAAGTTGCGCATTTTTATGTGACGTCACATTTCTCAACCCCCCCCCCCTCGTCACACATCGTCACAAACGTCTGACCCCCCCTAGGTGCGTGACGTCATTTATGGATGCCCCCTTAAACCCCCGTATTCTTCTTGTCCAGGGGAAATTGATATTCTTGGCCTGATAACTTGAATCTAAATTTGTCCTATGGTTGTTATTGTTGGTCTTGCATCACGCTGGGATTTTTGCAGACAGCGTTGTAAGACGGTGTTGTTTTTCTGGAAGATTTGCTGGTTTATCCCAGGATGTTTCTGGTGCGCGTCGTCGCTTTAAGATGTTTCTCTGTTCATATTTTTTGTTTGTTGCGGTTGCACCCGACTCAAGAGCCGCGTGGCTCACAGGGCTATACCTAATAAATGACAAAATAAATAAATGAAAAGATCGCGCTGCGCTTATTGAACATCTGCTACCCCACAACGTAATCACCGCAGCGGACTGCCTCGGTCACCCATGGTCACACTTGTCCAGGCTCAAACATGCTTAGCCATGCGCGTGTCTGATTATCTCGGACTCTCGATGAATATTGGCAGACTGGGGTAGACCAGAGATAAGTAACTACTGTAGATGCCACAACTAGAACGATATATAATACTTATTGTGGTGTGCCGTGTTACAAAACGTGGTTTAATTTCTGCCCAGGTACTACCATGTATATCTGTTTTCAATGTCCTCTTCTTCCAACATAGATGAAAACTAATATCAGATATACTACATCTTACTCTCTACATTGAATTTGCTTTGTGTAAGTTTTTTTCTTCAACAACGTGTTTCTTATTGGTAGCTTTAGGCTACCGATAATGTGTTTATACATGCACGAGTGTTGCCTGCTGTTGCATAAGCTGCGTGTTGATACGGTTATTATGAATTAAGTAGCACAGAGGTAACTTGCCTCGGTTACAGGCTTGACTTTACCGAGTAGGGGTTGTGTAATGGCTGCATAAATTAAAATCGCAATAAAACTTAAAAAAACTACTTTCGACCGTGGCTGAATGCTCGGGTTGTCTTAAATAAAAACACAGCTTGGACGTCATGGGTCAGGAAAAAAAACGTCCACACGATGTCGTAACGAGCTGCGATGGGCCAATTATCCCAATGCTGAAAATTACCGCAGAAAAAAATATATAAAACCATGGCAGGACCCTCGTGAAGCAAAAGCCTTGAGACTCAGAGAGGCTTTGCTGGAGTGGAGTATATAAAAGAAATGTACCAGCATTGAATGGCAATCGGATTTGTATTCTATTTTCCATCAGTGGCTACAGACGTGCGCACTTATTATGGTACCGCAGAGAGCCTGGGTTCGTCGATTCCGGGCAGCTCGTCTGTGATTAAAAAGTGTTCTCAGGTCCAGTGAGTCGATAGATCGATAACTGTACAAACAAACAACCCCATCACATGTAATTTGGTTTTACACTTAATTTGCCAACATTCCATCCGTGACAATTAAATTTACCGGTTTGACGGTGTCGTGCCACGAACATTATTCTCGGTGGCACGGCCGCTGGGAAAGAGGTCTCATGAAGACATCTCAGAGGTAGCTCTGTGATATCCACCACCGCGGGCCGTTCTCTAGAACGATGGGTTTGCACCGCTCTCCGTAAGAGATGAGAACATACAGCCTTTCC